GGTCAAACTTTCAGCCACTGCGCCCCAAAAACTCTGGAACACTCTCCTTCAATCCCTCTGCCCTGTCCCCCCTCTCCCCTCTTTCAAGTCCCAGCTGAAAACTTTCCTCTTCGACCATGCTTATGGCCACCTCCCCCTCCCCCGGCTCGGAGTCAGGCTCCGCCATTGTTAAGCGCTCTGAGACGCTACCCTGCATGGAGGGCACTATATAGCTGCAAGTTGTTGTTGTTCATAGGATTTTACTGGAAAATGCAGGTTACTGTAGTTGTAGGTAAATGCAGCAGCCAATTTGCACACAGCAATGACTCACAAACAGCCAAACTGTCCTCCTTGGGTGGGAGGTAAGTGGTGTCTTGTTGGAGCTGCACTGATTCCAAGGTGACATGTTGTGGTAACTGAATGTTAGAATCAAGCCAGTCCTCTGTGATGGTCTCAGTAGTCCGGTTCCTGAGCTAGGCAGGTCCGCGTTACTCCAGGGCACTGCTGATGACAGCCCAGTCAGGCTGGCTGAACAGCAAGACTTGGAAGGGCCATGGCTCTTGCCAACCTATGCCTAATATTTTATGGAATTAGCTAAGCAAGGTGCATCCCTCCAGGGACAGAGTGCTCATTCTATACCATGCACAGGTGGGATGTATGGACTCTGTTTGGTTTGGGTACTCTTAAGCATCCACATTTTTGAGATACCTGGCTGACCAAAAAGAACAGGCGTGAAATGAATGATTAATTTTATCTGGGGCATTGTTGGCCAGGACACTAGAAGAAACTTCTTCCTCTTTTCAAACAGTGCCACAGGATCTTTAACGTCCACAGACAAGACGTTAGCTTAAAATGTTATTCTGAAGATGGCACCTCCAACAATGCTGGCCTCCCCCTGCACTGCATTTGAGTCTCAGCCCAAACTGAGATCTCAGAAGTGCGACGGGGGTTTGAAACCACAACTTTCTAACTGAAGTGAGAGAGGTACCAACTGGAGTCCTGTGGAGTCCTGTAGCTCAGTGGTTAGAGCACTCGCTTTGCAAGCGAGAGACCTGAGTTCAATTCCAGGCAGGGCGAAACCTTGGGCAAGTTTCCTTACTCCACACAGAGCCTAATAATAATCCCTCCAAAAAAACAAAAACAATAATAAATTGGTCATTTTCAATCTACGACTGTTTGTGGGACATTGCTGTGCGCAATTGGCTGCCGCGTTCGCCCACAAATATACAGTCAATTCACTTTACAGTGTGTTCTGTGAAGCGCTCTGGGACGTCCTCCCGACGTGAAAAGCGCTGTATCAAATGCAAGGATTATTATTATTATTATTATTATTAACTGAGCCAGGCTGCTATGTATGCTACGAAAACAGGTGAGAATCAATTATTAGTCAGCGTTAGCTAACCACAAAAGCCTCCATGCAGAGTGCCAGTAATTCTATTACCTAATTGCAGCCAAGCAGAAAAGGTACCTTTAGCATTTTACCATCACGATGCAGTCTCTGATATCATTTTAACAACCACTGCTGAGCTCAGAAAAATAACTTAACTAATTATATTTTATATTAGTAGGGGAATGATTCCAATTAATGTAAGCACATCTAACGTTTTCTGATACTTCAAGCCTTTTATGTCTTAAACTGACTTTATCATCATCAACAGATTCAAAATAATTGGGTTTATTTGGGAGTTTTTTTGAAATCTGCAATATAAAATGAGTATTTAAATCTTACTGATGAATAATTCATTGGGAAACATTACAATCGCATTTTTCAACAATACCACTTAGCCCAATAACTGGATCAAAGCTCCTTGCATTATATTGTATAATTGCGTCCTGAATGAAACATTTGCAATTGTAACCTTTTGATGGGGAAATTAATTTATAGAGTTCATCTGACTCCAGGAAACGTCTATACAGTTAGATCAATTGAACAGCAGCCTAAAGAAAAGAGTGCCTCATGTTAAGATCCTCCAAGTTGTCCCCCAACAGTGCACCCCACCAAATGGGAGCAGGTGGACACCTCATCCCATCGATTCACTGTAGGTTGAGATACAAGAGGGAATAGTTGAGGGATATAAATCAAAGTTATGTTTACTGAGCAGAGGAAGTGGTCAGGATAGTAGGGTCACAGGAGATCGCAGAGTTAAGGTAGGCCGTGGAGGGATTTAAAGGAGAGAGTGAGGGTCTTGAACTGCACTGGGGACTCTCTTGTGATCTCTGTAAGAAGCTTCTATGGAGTTTCTGCACAGTTCTATGCACCTACTATCCATGCAGCACAGCTAAAAATTACATTTGTATAGCACCTTTCACCTCAGGACAAAGCCCCTTGCAGGAACAAGGCTGTGCAAAAGTCACTCAGCAAGACTCACCCCCTTGAAAATGTAATATCTACAAAACTGTTTGTGCTGTACACCATAAGAACAATAAATAAATATTTGAGAACAGCTTGTAACTGAACAACATAATGGAATAAAAATACTTATCAAGTGTACGTGAATATAATTAACGAATGAATTTCATTTTAAAACCAAGTAAACATATCAATAGAGGGCCTGCCAATGTCTCAAAAATTAAATACACCACATTGTGTGGTATTGAACCAGGGAGGTCTCATATTCAACAGCAACAACAACAAAAACTTGGATTTTTATAGCGCCCTCCACACCGGATGGCGTCTCAGTGCGCTTCACAGTAACGGATCTCGGGCCCGAGCTAGGAGGAGGGGGAGGAAGGTGACCAAAGGCGCGGTACAAAAAAAGGTCTTCAGCAGAGACCTGAAAATAGTGGGAGCAAAGCGAAGGGAGTGAGGAAGGGAGTTCCAGAGCCTCGGGACATAGTGACTGAAGGCACGACCGCCGAGGGTGGAGCAGAGAACTCGGGGGATGAGGAGGAGGCCAGACCCGGAGGAACAAAGGCAACGGGTACTGTTTTGAGGAGAGAGGTGGTCAGAGAGGTAGGGGGGTGCAGAGGAGTGGAGGGACTTGAATACAAAGGTGAGGATCTTGAAGGCGATCCTCTCTGGGATAGGCAGCCAGTGCAGTCTGGCAAGGACTGGGATAATCGGGGAGTGGAGTTTCGTGCAGGTGAGAATGTGGGCAGCAGAGTTTTGAATAATCTGGATTTTATGGATAGTAGTGGAGGGAGACAGGTGAGGAGGGCATTAGAATAGCCCAGCCGAGAGGTGACAAAGGCATGGACCAGGGTTTCAGCGGCTTTCGAAGAGAGGTATTGGCAGAGACGGGCGATGCGTTGGAGGTGGAAGAAAGCGGTGTTGGTGAGGGACCGGATATGGGGGAGGAAGGATAATTGGGGGTTGAACCTAACGCCTAGGTTGTGTACGGGTTCAGAGAGTTTTAAGGGGAGTTCAGGTAGGTTGAGGAGATGAGAACCGTGAGATTTTAGACGTTGATGAGAGCCTAAGAGTATAGCTTCCGTCTTGTTAACGTTCAGCAGAAGGAAATTTGCACTCATCCAACCCCTGAGATCTGACGGGCAGGCTGACCGAACATCAGGGGACTGGGGGTCACAAAAAGAGGTGGAAAAATAGAGTTGGGTGTCATCCGGATACATGTGGAAATGTACCCCATGTCTGCGGATGACATCCCCAAGAGGGACCATGTAGATTAGAAAGTGGAGGGGGCCAAGGATGGATCCTTGGGGTACCCCGCAGCTAACTGGCATGATCGACTGTGTCAAACACGGCGGAGAGGTCCAGGAGATTAAGGAGGCAGAGGGAGCCCTGGTCACAGATAGAGAGGATATCGTTTGTGACTTTCACAAGCGCAGTCTCTGTACTGTGGGCAGGGCGGAAACCGGACTGGAGGGGTCCAAAGAGGGAGTGGGCAGGGTTAGGACAATTCTTGCATTCAGTCCCAATTTCAAAGCTGTTACGTAGAACTCTTTGAAGAACCGCAGAAAACAGGCTTCAAAACTACTACTAATAAAATAATAATAATCCTTGCATTTGATATAGCGTATTCCTACTTACAGCTAGACTTAGATTTAATTGAAGGATTAAAAAAATGTAAGAATTGTCCAAAAAGTTTTGTAAGGCTAAGAAAAAAGCCTAAATTAGACCCGGGCAGATTTTCTTCCCCTCCCACGGATTGTTATCCAGAAATCCCTGCTGGAAGCTCACGTTTGGCATCTTTGGGTAAGAACACAGTTGTTGTTGAGCCTTCTGAGACCCATTGAAAAATTAGCTTTCAAGTGAGACAAACCAGGATGAGTTACTGCTTGTGATCAGGGGAGAAAGAAATGGAGGAAACTGGACAAGGAAAAAGATTCAACAGTTGGTAAGATACTTAAGGACTTACAAAATAGCATGAAATATAATGCAGTGAGTTATGGAGAATCTTATGTATTTTTGCAGTAACATGCGATTTAAAAACAATGTGCACTTTTGCAAAATTTGCAACGGCTGTCTGCCGAGCTTTGGGAGGAGTTGTCACTTTTCCTCCAGGAGTATCGCACTCTGAATGAAGAGGCACAGTGTTTAACTGATTGCTGATTCCAAACCCTCAAAGACTGACCTCTGGAGAACTTGAGTGGGCACTGAGCGACTCCGTCCTTGAGCTAAGGGGACAAGATTTTAGGGGTTTGCTGTTGCATCTGTCGTTGTGACCAGATTTGACCTCTCCCATCAAATGCATGCCATGTTATGTGATGTAGTCAAGTTATTCTGCATCTGAATGAAACCAGGGAACATAGTGTCCCTGACATTTTCATGGTCTGGTGTTTCTGGCCAATGATCTTGTTTCCAGTGTTCTGCATATGTGGTGGGAACAGCTGAAGGGCAACATTTGTCCACTGTGATTGATGTGTCTCTATGTCACTAGTAGTAATTTGCTGACTTGTGAACTAGAGTTGGCTCTGCCACAACTGTAAGATCTTTGTGCAGCTAAACAGCAATAGTGCATGAATTGGATGAAATTATAATGATATAAGTGGTGGCCTTTTGTTGTGGGGAATAGAAAGAATAATTGGCACTGTTAGATAATAAATCTTGTTCTGTTTTACAGGTGTTTTGATCGGAATTCTTGTGCATGAATACGGCAATCTGACAAAGCTCGAGATATACTACTTTGGGTTTCCTGGAGAGATTTTGATGAGAATGCTGAAGCTGGTTATTTTACCATTAATTGTATCCAGTATGATAACAGGTAAATGATTCAGTCATGTTATTGAATAATAGGAGTACCAAAGCAGAAATTACTATCAACCATGGCATGTCTTAGTTGTAATGGGGGACAAGGACATGGCAGAGTCCCTAAATGGGTACTTTGCATCTGTCTTCACCCTAGAAGACACAACAAGTCCGCCAACAATAGAGATGCACCAAAGGGATAAGGACAGGGAGCAACTTAGGAAAATTTTCATCAGTAGAGAATTAGTGCTAGGGAAACTGTTAGCACTAAAAAGTGACAAATCCCCTGGTCTGGATGGCTTGCATCCCAGGGTTTTAAAAGAGGTAGCTTATGAGAGAGTGGAGGCCTTGTGTCTGATCTTCCAAAATTCCTTGAATTCTGGAACAGTCCCCATGGATTGGAAGATCGCAAATGTCACACCACTATTTAAAAAAGGTGGAAAGGAAAAGATGGGGAACTATAGGCCAGTTAGTCTCACATCAGTGATAGGAACATTTTTAGAATCATTGATTAATGATGCGGTAGTGCGGTATTTAGGGGAACACAATATAATTAGGCCAAGTCAACATGGCTTTACAAAAGGGAAGTCATGTTTGACAAATCTCATAGAGTTTTTTGAGGACATTTCCAGTAAACTAGATAAGGGTGAATCAGTGGATGTGGTCTATTTGGACTTCCAGAAGGCATTCGATAAGGTGCCGCATAAAAGGTTAGTCCAAAAGATAAGGGCCCATGGAATTGGGGGGAGCATATTAACATGGATTGGGGAATGGTTAACGGGTAGGAAACAAAGAGTAGGGATAAACGGGTCCTTTTCAGATTGGCGGGATGTGACTAGTGGAGTGCCACAAGGATCAGTCCTTGGGCCTCAGCTATTTACCATCTACATCAACGATCTAGATGAGGACATCGAAGTTAATATATCTAAATTCGCGGATGACACAAAACTAGGAGGAAGTGTCAACACAGAGGACAACATTAAAAAAATGCAGCGAGACATAGATAGGTTAGGTGATTGGGCAGGTAGGTGGCAGATGAAGTATAATGTAGGGAAGTGCGAAGTCATCCACCTGGTAGCAAAAACAGTAGAGCGGGTTATTTTTTAGAAGGGGAGAGATTGGAATGTGTTAGCGTCCAGAGGGACTTGGGGGTCCTTGTATACCAATCACAGAAAGTTAGTCTGCAGGTGCAGCAGCAATTAGGAAGGCGAACGGTATGTTAGCATTCATTATGAAAGGATTAGAGTATAAGAGTAGGGAAGTCTTGCTGCAACTGTATAGGGCCCTGGTGAGACCACACCTGGAATACTGTGTCCAGCTTTGGTCTCCTTATTTAAGGAAGGATGTACTTGCCTTGGAGGGGGTGCAGCGTAGATTTACTAGGTTAGTACCAGGGATGAAGGGGATGAGTTACGAGGATAGGTTGACCAATTTGGCCCTATATCCTCTAGAATATAGAAGAATTAGAGGAGATCTTATAGAAACCTATCAGATCATCAAAGGGCATGATAGAGTAGATACTGGGAGATTGTTTCCCCTGGTTGGAGAAACTAAAACCAGGGATCACAACCTTAAAATCAGAGGCCAGCCCTTTCACACTGAGTTGAGGAAGAACTTCTTCACTCAAAGGGTGGTGAATGTATGGAATTCACTACCCCAAAGGGCTGTTGACGCTCAGTCCTTGAACATATTCAAGACTGAGATAGATAGATTTCTTATTGCAAAAGGGATTAAGGGATATGGGATAAGGCAGGGTCAGGTTATTAGCTGGAGTTAGATTAGAAGATCAGCCATGATTGAATGGCGGGGCAGGCTCAAAGGGCCAAATGGCCTACACCTGCTCCTACATGTTATGTTATGTCTTCGAAAAGGGAAGTTCTTGAGATTCTATATATTAATGCTCTAATCAGCTAATAATTGAACTGCATAATTCTATTATTTCAGAGGCAGAAATATGATATTCCTTTACTATGCTCCAACAAATGTGTCAGCCTGGCTTAGTTGGCAGCACTGTTGCCTGAGTCTATTCGCTAGTGTTCCACCAACATTTTCTTGTAATTTTTATATCATAGTCATAGGGCAGATGCATTCAGTCATGCTGTAAAGAAATATCAGCTGGACTTTAGAAGGCTTGTTGATGAATCACATTGGACCTTTCAGAACTCCAGAGGTGCTATTTCATCCTTTCAGCCATTGCTCAGAGTGCTACTTCCTCCCCTCAGCCATTGCTTGACAGAATTAAAGAGGAAAAAAGACAAAGGAAACCTATCAATGTCTTTAAAATACAGTAATGATAAACATGGATACTGTAGATGTAAACAGGCTACTTTCTTTACCACCATGAGAATGGAATAAAAGGGCCAAGGACAAACTGAAGGATGAAACTGAAAAACCTCAGTCAGGGATGATAATAAACAATTTTACCCCACAGAGTTGTGGAACAGACCCCAGCGAAAATAGTTGATATTCATCAATGAACTCCTCAAGGGTAATTACAATACCATCAAAGACAAAATCTCAGCTAAATTTCAATGCAGAAAAAAACTGAAGTATGAAGTAATGAAGGTTGGATAATTAATTATCTTGTTCTTTACTTACCCACAAGGCATGTGGCTATTGAAATCTCCAGCAGTAAATGCTCTAACAGAACTTTCATTTGACCCTAGTTGCAACCTTATTGGAAACAGTCTAATCCATCAATATGGATTAAACACCACTTGTATTTAAGAGAATCATCATAGATATCTCTCTAAGTATTTACTTATAGCAAACTGTAAAATTCACATCATATCTGGAAGATGAACAATCTAAATGCTGTTTTACCTTATTTGGATGCATTAATCCAAAATCAGTCAATTTATATTCCAGAACATCTTATTATAGCTGAAAGGATACAAGAAACTGAACAACATAAAGTTCGCTCATTAATATTTTACAATTCAATAATACTTTGCGAATAACAAGAATAAACTGCACCAACTATTGTTGAAGAGTCACATCCCTCTTACCGCAAAGTGTAATGGCTTTATAATAGAAAAATCACATTAAAAGAAACATTTGAATTAAGCCGCAAGGACGTCTCAAAGAGCTTGACCAATCTAGATTGACAGCCAAGCTGGGAGTGAGAGCCAACGGGAGGTGGGGAAAGGGAAAGATAACTGAGAAGTTAGCCAAAGAACAAAGATTATAATTGTTTACTATACTAACAGCTCAACATAGAACATGTCTAATTGGGACCAACCTACCTACTAGGGCTCACCTCCCTCACTCCCACCCTGCATTAGTAAGAAGGATTCTGAGATGTGGTACTCAGTTTATCAACCTCAAATTGGAGATGATCGAAGTGACCTAATGAATGTCACGTCTGGATTCCCCCCCCCCCGCACCCCCCACCCCCGCTCTCCCAACCATTCTGAAATGGCTTTTCAAGTTCCTTTTAAAGTGAAAGCATAGATGCTCCAGAATGCCTCATGCTGTGCCTGCCACTATGACACTGACTGAGTTGTGGAGATTTGAAACACCAACCTCCATGAAGCTAAAATAGTCGATAATGTTAAAGGTGTTAAATATCAAGTATTAATCAATACAATTTACATTTTATATAGGGACTTTTATGTCGGGAGGACGTCTTGAAGCACTTGATAGTACTGGCTGGTCACATGAGCTGGGGGTGGGGACTGAGGGTTTGGGGAGGGCAAAGGTGACCAAAAGTATAATAATAATAATAATAATCCTTGCATTTGATATAGCGCTTTTCACATCGGGAGGACGTCCCAAAGCGCTTCACAGAATACACTGTATATTTGTGGGCAAACGCAGCAGCCAATTGCGCACAGCAATGTCCCACAAACAGTTGTAGATTGAAAATGACCAATTTATTATTGTTTTTAGTTTTGGAGGGATTATTATTAGACGTGTGGAGTAAGGAAATTTGCCCAAGGTTTCGCCCTGCCTGGAATTGAACTCAGGTCTCTCACTTGCAAAGCGAGTGCTCTAACCACTGAGCCACAGTATGTCCAAAAGAGGCATGTTAATAATACTGTAAAATCATATTTTTTTAAAAAGGGCGAGCTGGAGGAGTACTTTACTCAGACTGCATCCTTCCCAAACTTTTTTTCTGTAACAACTAAACTTCTTATTATCAGTCAATGCAAGTTCTTAAGCATCAATCCATTACCCCATTAATGTCGTTAACTCACTAATGCGGGCAGTATTTTTGCAACCTTTTTCACTTCAACATTGTATTAAAAAAAAGTAATAATAATTGGGTCACTCAATCCATGACTATTTGTGGGACATTGCTGTGAGCAATTGGCTTCTGCGTTTCACACTAAAAATATACAGTCAATTCACTTTACTGTATATTCTGTGAAGCGTTTTGAAACGTCTATAAGACGTGATGAGGCACTATTACAATGCAAGGATTATTATATTATTATATAGCACAGCAATACAAACTCACGTGTCAGGTCAACCTGCTGATGTGGTCAAAATTCCGCAGTCTACAATTCTTCCCCAGCATTGCACTGCCGTCAGTTTACATCCTAACACAGGAAATGAACCCATAACTTTCTAACCCAAAGGCAAAAGTGAGTCCTGTAGCTCAGTGGTCAGAGCACTCGTCTCGCAAGGGAGAGACCTGGGTTTGATTCCCAGCAGGGTGAAACCTTGGGCAAGTTTCCTTACTCCACACGCTTGATAATAATCCTTCAAGAAAAAAAACAATGATAAATTGGTCACTTCAATCCACAACTGTTTGTGAGACACTGCTGTGCGCAATTGGCTGACGAGTTTCGCCCAAAACTATACAGTCAATTCACTTTACAATATATTCTGTGAAGTGTTTTGAGAAGACGTGAAAAGCGCTAAATTAAATGCAAGGATTATTATTATTATTATCATCTGTCAACGGTGTTTAAGAAAGGAATAACATTTAAATTTCCCAATGGATTAGTGGATAAAGGCACTAAACTTAATGGAACAAAATATTGTAGGTTCAAATCTCAGTCTGGCCTGAATTAGTAATTACTAATCCTTGCCTTTCATATCTGTCAGATGTCTCAAAGCTCTTCACAGGATTTACTGTAAAGTTTAGTGTATTTTGTAGACAAACTCAGTACCAATTTGCTCAAACTAATGTCCCACAAAGGCCATGAAGTTAACTTTATCTGGGATATTGTTGTCCAGGAGAAACTCCTTCCTTTTTTCAAATGGTGCCATGGGATCTTTAACATTCACCTGAATAGGATGGCACCTCCGACAACAGTGTAGTGCTCCCCTGTCACTGCATTGAAGTGTTAGCCTAGACTGTGAGTTCAAAGCCCTGATGTGGGACTTGAACCTAGAATCTTGTTAATCAATCAACAAGAGTGCTACCCAGGCTGAAGCAGCGGAGGGAGATGTGCTACATTATTCTACTGTACCTGTATTCTGAGTTAGAAAGGGAAAAAAAATATTCTGGATGTTTTTCAAATGCCCACGTTCAAAGTACCTGTGCACAAATTGGGTAAGGCATGTTTACTGAGATCCTGAATTTCTCTTTGCAGGAGTCGCTGCTTTGGATTCCGACGTCTCTGGGAAGGTCGGATTACGAGCTGTGGTGTATTATTTTTGCACCACTGTTATTGCTGTAATCCTAGGTAATCTGAGAAATTCATTTAGAATTCCTGTTGATTTGCGAGAACTCCACTTCAGAAATTGATTATGTGGGAGCTGAATTTCTTGGGTCAGAGTGATGTCATTCTGATTGCTTGAAGGCCAACTGCAGACAATACAAACTTACAATATATATATATATAAATATAAATATATAGCATCCTTCAGGTCTGGAGGACGTCCCAATGTGGTTAACAGTACCGACTGGGCAGTTTATCTGGGTATGGATGATGAAGGGGCTGGGGAAGGGAAAAATGAATAAAAAAGAGGTAGGTCAAAGAGGTGGGTCTTGAGATGGACCTTGAAAGAAGTGCGGGAGACATGAATAGGAGTCCTTATTCAGAAATCATGAGGTGAAATACCACAAATTAAAACCCTATCCCTTATTCTATAATGGAATTTCCATGTGCTCTGTTTTCACTGTTAATCTTAAAATGTAAGATTGTTTCCTTCAAATTTAAGATGTAACAGAATTGTGGGGAAAAAAAATATTTGGAAATCAGTTTATTTTTAAGAACTCTGGAAAGCCTGGCTTCCAAATTAAGGGTGAATTTTGCAATTTTGAGACTAAACCAACCTGCAGCCTAAGAATAGGTGGAATTTTGGACCTCGAGACTCCAAAACATCAATGATGCGAAAATGGTTCCACATAAAATGGTTTGTTGGGGTACAAGGCAAAGCTTCACCATCAAGGATAAGTAACACGAGAGGTATGCTTGAAATCTAGCTTCCGCACACCACTTATTGTTTGATTTACATCACTATCCTCCTTTTGGGAAGGTAAACAAGGTCTCCTTGGAATGAGCTGGCGCCAAAGTGATATCCTCGACAATGGAATGTCAGAATCAAGTTAACCTCTGCAGCGGTCTTGGCAGTACAATTCCTGAGCCAAGTGCAGTATCCAGGACACTGCAGATGATAACACAACAGCTGGCTCATTGACAGGACTTGGAGGGATGGCCAGTCACTGGGAGAACTGACTGTTCCCACTTAGCTCCTGTTAACCCTGCAAGTCAAAGCCTTAATGGGCAGGGAGGTCTAAGTTGTTAAAACAATGGGAAGCTTGTCCAGACAGTGATCTCAATGGCAAGCTATGCAGTTTAGGCTGGTTAAAACTCAGCAGTACCCCAATGCCCATTCGGAGTACCCAACCTTTGGCTTTTGCCGTGCCTAATTCTCTGGTAATTAGATAAGAGGGTGCATTCCTTCAGGAAGAGAGTGTGTATTTCAGACACAGAGATTTCAACGCCTAAGTGACATACGTATATGAAACGCTCAGTCTGGTTTGGGTACTCTTAAGCATGGTGATGGATTTCCACATGTTTCAGAGATCCAGGTGACTAGAAAGAAAAAACTATTTTTAAAAACTTTTTTTAAAATATTGCATATTTAAAAGTAACCTTTTTTCTCCAAAGTGGGCCTCTTACATGCAGAATTTTGTGTTTTGGATAAGGAATTATATTGGTGATGGCCATCAAACCTGGTATCTCCCAAACTGCTGAGGAAATTGGCAGGGTTGGATCCACACCAGATGTCACCACTGTGGATGCCATGCTCGATCTGGTGAGGTACGAAACTCCCTTAAGATTGTCAACACTTTGCAATTCTTCATCTCCGCTCTATCTGTAACTTCAATCCCGCACGTCAGAGGAACCTGACTACAGAACCTTTGCCCTATGTTACACTGCAAGTTAAAGTGTCACTCTGTAGCTCACCTTCCTGGTGAGCTTACACTGAGTGCAATGCCCTTTTACGGCTTTAGCTTTTGAATCAAACTCATTAGCATGCATGCAGCCCTTTTCATCAAGTGGGTTGTCCTGCGATTGTCATTCTGGTTCACTAATTCCCCACATGAAAGGCTCTACATCAAATGTAAGGATTATTATTTAAAGTGTCAGTTTGCTGCTCAGTTACCAACAATACCGGCTTCTGAGTCAGAGGTTGTGTTTTCTGAGAGAACGCAGCAGCCAATTTGTGCACAGCAATGTCCTATAAACAGCATCAATTTTATCTGGGGGATTGCTGGCCAGCACACCATAAGAAACTCCCTTCTCTTTTTAAATTGGAATCTTGCCCCCCCTTCCCCCCCCCACTCAACCCTCCGCACGCATACATACACTGAGAGGCTGACAAATACTTGTGGGGGTGGATTTGCCCCTGACTCATCCTCTTGTTTTGAGGTAATTCTAATAATAAAGTCACACCCAATTGTGGGGCACAGAGACAGGATTTAGAATGTGCAAAGGAAAAATTCACTTGCCTCGTGAAGTATTTAAAAAAGGCCTCTCTTTTATATACAGGAATGCATTCCCAGAAAACTTGGTCCAGGCCACCTTCCAACAGGTACTGTCACTCTTTTACTGTTTTCCCAGCGATTTAGATACAACCAATTGGAAAATAATTGATTTATTTCCTCATGCATTCAATCAGATGTTTGGACTGGTTAAAATGCCCAAAGATTGAAAACTTAAAATGTTGTATACAATAAATATGTCCTAAAATAATATTGCTACGGTCTCCTCTTCTGTAACTTGTGAGCAAAATTGCCTATAAAACGCCAAGCATAAAGAAGGACTACTGTGTCAAACAGAAATAGATTAGGAAGCGTAGTACAGGCCACCACACAGGATTTATTTAAAAGAGGTTGATGTTTGGGTTGGTTTTCTGGGAGGATGAAATCTAGTAGCTGAAGAAGCATTTTCTTCTGAATCTTTTAGAAAGGTTGGAGATGGGAGAGGGAGAAAGGACCATTTGGCCATTTGACTCACCCCTACAGCGCATAATTGCAGCAGTTAAGATGCAATCTCACCAGTATTTTAAATATCCCCAATGTTTTTGCCTTTATTATATTGTTTGATACATTATTGTAGAGACATCACTCTGTGAGTAATTATGTTTTTACTGATATGTGGTCTAAAGTAAAATTTCACTAGTTTATAATAATTCTTGAATTTGATAGAATTGATAGAATAATTCTTGAATTTGATAGAATTTGATAGATGTCATGTCATCACAACGTCTCAAAGCGCTTCACATGATATACTTTAAAGTGGAGATACTGTGTAATTTATAATTTGTGGGCAAAATCCATTGTTATCGTCTGGTTCCTGGCTTGATATGTTTGAGTTGGTTTTCTTACATTAAGACGTAAACCTGGTTTTACCATAGCTATACCATTTAATGTGTTGTGTACTTTGTTATGAGTCCCTTGCCTGTTTTTTGTCCAGATTGTGAAGCTTAAATTCCTCTGATATATCAAACCACTCACCCTTCCCCATCATACCTTACTTGGGGTCAACCTCATCTCTGATGGTCTTGATTCCTGAGTCAGGGTGCTGGAGTGTAGGGCTAAAGAGTGCTCAGTCATTTCATTCCATTACAGTTTTCATTTCAATGCATTTCTGCGGCTGTTCACAGAGCGAGGAACAGACAGATGGATGGGACTGAGTATGTTAAAAACATTCAGATTGAAGAACCAATTGCTCACTGAGTAATCAGCAATAATCAGCCTTACTGTGACGCTTAGCTCAAGGCAGTCTGTGGCCTGCCTGATCCTTCCTCTCCTTTGAGCAGTAGGGAAGTGTGAGGTCATCCACCTAGGTAATAAAAACAGTAGAGCAGATTATTTTTTAGAAGGGGAGAGACTAGATAGTGTTAGCGTTGAGAGAGACTTGGGTGTCCTTGTACACCAGTCACAAAAAGTTAATTTGCAGGTACAGCAAGCAACGAGGAAGGCTAATGGTATGCTGACATTTGTTACAAAAAGGTTAGAATATAAGAGTAGGGAAAGTCTTGCTGTAACTGTATAGGGCCCTTGTGAAACCGCACCTAAAGTATTGTGTGCAGTTTTGGTCTCCTTATATAAGAAAGGATGTACTCGCCTTGGAGGGGGTACAACGTAGATTTACTAGGTTGGTACCAGGGATGAGTTATGAGGATAGGTTGAGCAATTTAGGCTTATATTCTCTAGAATATAGCAGAATGAGAGGTGATCTTATAGAAACCTATAAGATTATTAAGGGGCACGACAGAATAGATAGTGGGAGACTTTTTCTCCTGGTTGGAGAAACTATAACCAGGGGCCACAGTCTTAAAATTCAGGGTAAGCCATTTCGCACTGAGTTTAGGAAAAACTTTTTCACTCAGAAGGTAGTGAATTTATGGAATTCTCTACCCCAAAGGGCTGTAGATGCTCAGTCCTTGAACATATTCAAGACTGAGATTGATAGATTTCTTGTGGATAAAGGGATTAAGGGATATGGGGATAAGCAGGTAGGTGGAGTTAGAATGGTTCAGCCATGATCTTATTGAATGGCGGGGTAGGCTAGAGAGGCCAAATGGCCTACTCCTGCTCCTAATTCTTATGTCATTATGAATGTAATAACTAGTCGGGAGATTTCTTTAGCTGGGTTTAAATTAAAAAACAAGATTGATAAATGGAGGAGTGAATTTTCAAAAAATTATCTTAGACAATGCAATGGGGATGGCAGTAGACTGACATTCCAGTACACTGTATCGTCTAAAGTGCTATCCTTCAGATGACATGTTAAACCAAGGTCCTGTCTGCCTGTTTGGGTGGATGTTAAAAAATCCATGGCAATATTTGAAAAGAGATATTTACCCAGTGTCTTGGCTAACAATACCCCAGATAAAATTGAACACGTACTTATTGGCTGTTTGTGGGACATTACTTTGTGCAGATTAATTTTGCCCCCAAAAGACACCTGCCCAAACAGGCATGACACGCTACAAGAACTTTGTGAAGTGCTTTGAGATATTTCACTCACAAAACACAGTCAATCCACTTTGCAGAATATCCTGTGAAGCTCTTTAAGAAGTCTCAACTACATGATAAGGCACTGTATCAAATACAAGGATTATTATTGTTATTATTATTTTCTCAATATTATCGGTGCTATTATCAAATATGATTACTATTAGAATTAACAGAGATTAGGTAAATCAGACAGTGTTGAGCAGCAACAGGCCTCCATTAGAATACAGTCTTGTTAGTTTTGTATGAAACAGTTTGCCATATTTCTCAAACTGTCTGATGTTTAATAGAAATTAATCAGCTTAGCATGTCTTTGGACAGGAAACAAAGTCATGATTTTCCATGTTATTTCCACCTATGTCTCTTGTGTTGTAATATTTGTCTTTGGTAGAATTCACATCGCTCGTTTCTTCTGTTTCAGTATAAAACCAGACGCCAAGTCAAAGAAGTTATTAAAGAAGTTATTAATGCCACCAGCCACCCTGTTGAGCCAACGGTTTCAGTTATCATGACAACGCTGACAAATGAGGTAAAATGAGTTATTTGTAACCTGTTTGTGGGATGTGTATATGGTAAGCTGCCAATTATTAAATTATGGGGTATATGTGATACAAATTTTACAAATATAATAAATATATTCAGGTCCCCCACCCTACCTAACCCACCGCAAATGGTCTAACTTACAGCTTTTCAGCCCCTTTTTTCTGGAGTCCCCAAAACTCCCACCCTCCCTCACCTCATTCAAGGTCGGTCTCAAGACCTACCTCTTTTGGTCATCTTTCTCATCACCCAGATCGGATACCAGAAGCAACTAGATTTTGGTCAATGCCATTTAGTTAAAATATCGAGGGGAGAGTTACCTTTCCCCCCCTCCCCCTCACCATGGCAACCATCAATTAGGGCGTCTCCATGAACAGAATGTCTCGCTTACCATCATTGTCATTAGCCACTCAACAACAACAACAACAACAACAAGATTTCATTTATTGAGCGCCTTTCACGTCAGGAGGACGTCCCAAGGCGCTGGACAGTTGGGTCAGGACCCGAGCAGGGGGGAAATGGTCAGGGTGAGGGGAGGGAAGGGAGGGAGCGAGGAAGGGGTAGAGAGTTGAGAGGGGAGCTGAAGGCACGGTCAAAGAGAAAGGTCTTGAGACCGGCCTTGAAGGAGGAAAGGGAGGAGGCGGCGAAGGCACTGGGGGATGGAGTTCCAGAGCTTAGGGGCTGAGAGGCTGAAGGCCCGGCCACCGATGGTAGGGAGGTTGGGGCGGGGGATGTGGAGCAGACCGGAGCCAGAGGAACGGAGGGTACGGGCAGGTAGGTAGGGGGATAGTAGGTCAGAGAGGTAGGAGGGAGCGAGGCCGTGAATGGCCTTGTAGGTGAGGATGAGGATCTTGAATTCGATCCTCTGGAGCAACCAATCATAGCAGCTTGCCTATCAACTGAGAATAAATTATGAAATAACAAACCCACCTACCATTTAAACAGATGCACCAAGCTGCAAAAAGAAAGTTACACCTTGTATAGGACTTTATCGTCTTGATGACAGAACAGATGACATGATTGATTTGAATGAAGACCGTTCGACCCATTTGTTATCATTCTTCCAGAACACCCCATCTTAGCATCTTCCCATCACAGCATCAAGCAGTTTTATTAAATGAGTTGATTATCCTGGCCTCAACCACAGTTGCTGGCAGCCTGTTCCAGTTATAATTACCCTCTGGATAAAGAATTACTTCCTGGTCCTGAAATACTCTTCGGAATGACCAATTTATCTGTAAGATTAAAATGCAAAATACTGCAGATGTTGGAAATCTAAACAAAAACAGAGATAGCTGGGAACACTTAGCAGGACAGGCAGCATCTATGGAGAAAGGAAAGTGTGTCAACGTTTCAAGTCTATGACCCTTCGTCAGAACTGGAGCATGTTGGGAGGGAGAGCCTTTGAAGGGCTAACATAGAGGTGTGAGGCGGGGCAAGGAAGACAAGGAAGAAAGTGGGCTAGAGGCTGGGGGATGATGGGTTAACTAAGTGGTTAATGATGCAGAACAAAGTGGGGGATTGCAACAAAGCAGGGAAATAGAGGTGTTAATACTGCAGAACAAAATGTGGGGGGGGAAATGATCTTATCTGTAAGATTGTTGGCCAAAGCACAGGGAGAAACTGTCTTCTCTTTTATAATGGTGACATCTCAATTTTTCAATAAAGTTTTTGCAGAATAGGACAAAGGAGTATGAAGTGATTGGGGCCTACTCTGATGGACTCAATGTCTTGGGCCTCATTGTCTTTTGCCTGGTGTTTGGCATCGTCATTGGGAAGATGGGTGAAAAAGGCAAAATCCTCATTGACTTCTTTGATGCTCTGAATGAAGCCACAATGAAAATAGTACAGGTTATTATGTGGTGAGTAACAATGATAATAATAATAATTATTCACATCTATGTAAATTATAATTATTCACCTTCTCTCCTCTCCTTATACACACACACCAGTTTGGACTTTTGAATCTGGGGGTTGTTGGCGAGGACACTGGCTGAAACTGCCTTCACTTTCTAATGTTTGGCTGTAATCTTTAATCCTGAACTAAGCAACAGGCAGACGCAACCTCAGTACTGTATAAGTACTGCCTGTCAGTATCTCAAGCCCTGCAGTAACACATCACTCCTAGACCATTGCATTGGAGCATCAACCAAGACTGTGAGCTCTAACTTGGGGCTTCAACTCACAACCTTCTGAACCACTTGTGATGCCACCAGAAGAATGCCAGCTTCTGAGCTATGACATTTCAGTCACATTATAAACTCTTTCAAATGAAAGATTGTGTAGAATTTTAGAAATTAGTTAAACTCAGCCTTAATTTGGAAGTCGGTTTCTTTTTAAAATACTGCAGAAAACTGAAGGTAATGCTTACATGCTTATCACTGATCATGACCCCTTGTGAATGATGCTTCTTCCCCTTCCCATGTCTTTTAGCTACATGCCAATAGGCATATTATTCCTTATTGCTGAGAAACTCATGGAGGTGGATAATTGGGAAATTTTCCGTCAACTGGGACTCTATGTGGCTACAGTGCTGAGCGGGTATGTGTTGCATCTTCATGGTTGTTTTTCACACTGCTTTGGGGTCATATATTGAGTTGTAATTGCTAACAGTAAGTATGACGATTAGACCAGCTGGGATCTTCAGTCTTGAGAAAAGACGTCTCAGAGGAGATCACATGGATGTGAATACATTTGGCTCTGGTCAGAGATTGTGGGTTCAAGTCCCACACAGCCCACACAGTCAAATGAGACGTTAAACGTAAAACCAAGAACCCATCTGCCTGTTCAGGTGGACATTAAACATCCCATGGCACTGGTTGAAAAGAGAAGGAAGTTTCTCTCGGTGTCCTGGCCAACAGTCCGCAAGATAATATTGGTCACTGTTTCATGGCTGTTTGTGGGACATTGCCATGCACAATTGTGCTGCCAAATACAAATACACAGTCACTCCACTTCGTAGTAAATCTTGTGAAGTGGGTTGAGACATCCTTCCAATGTGAAAAGGCGTATACAAAATGCAAGGATTACTATTATTATAATTCTAATATTTGAAATGCGATTGAAAAAGTAAACCTCGACAATACTTTAGGATGTTACAAAACAGTAGAACTAGAGAACATAGTTGTAAAAGATAATTTTAGGGCAAACATCAGACAGTTTTTCTTTACTCAGAAGGTAATTAAGGACTAGGACAGGAAAGGTGGTTTAGGTTTGGACACTGGACTCATTTAAAAAGCAGCTTAATGCTATGATGGGGGGATGCTAGAGGGGTTTTCTGGAGGGATGAGATTAGATGGGCTGAATGGCCTTCTTCATCCAGACCAATCCTGTGATGTCTAACGGAGTCAAGTATATTGGGCTGCAACAATGATAATGGGATATGGAATGCAAATTGATTGCATTAATTAGCTGGTTTGTGATTGTGCAATTGCGTCATGTACCCGAGATTTGCAAAAGGACAAATCCTGTAATTGTACTTTATAATGATCAGACTCACAGCCACTGTCTTAGTCAGTCAATTGTGTATCAGCCTGGCTCAGTTGTATCATTCAAGATCCTCATCCTCACCTATAAGGCCATTCATGGCCTTGCTCCCTCCTACCTCTCCGACCTACTATCACACTACTTACCGCCCGTATCCTCCATTCCTCTGGTTCCGGTCTGCTCCACACACCCTGCCCTAACCACTCTACCATCGGTGGCCAGGCTTTCAGCCTCTCAGCCCCTAGGCTCTGGAACTCCATTCCCCCAGTGCCTTCGCCTTGCTTCCTCCCTTTCCTCCTTCAAGGCCGGTCTCAAGACGTTTCTCTTCAACCGTGCCTTCACCTCCCCTCTCGACTCTCTACCCCTTCCTCGCTCCCTCCCTTCCCTCCCCTCACCCTGACCATTTCCCCCCTGCTCGGGTCCCGACCCAACTGTCCAGCGCCTTGGGACGTCCTCCCGACGTGAAAGGCGCTCTATAAATGCAATCTTGTTGTTGTATCATCGTCATCTCTGAGTCAGAAAGGTTGTGGTTCAAGCCCCAGGTTGAAACTTTGAAGTCATATTGTCTAAGATGAGGTTCTAATGGAGTGTGATACATTGCTAGAGCTGCCGTCCTTCAGATGAGACGTTAAACAGAGGCTATGCTTGCCTGTTCAGGTGGACATTATTGGACCAATTGGACCAATTGCAGGGATTATTACTCATAGTTAATCCAAAACAATTCCTAGGATGGGTAGAGCACATTCTTTACCTGTTCTTTTAATGTCCACCTGGAATTTACAATAATACTCACCTTGCCTCAAAATAAAATAAAAATGGTGGCACTGCAAGACTGAGAGCACTATTATTAATAATAATAATATTTAAGTTATTATTTTGTTTCCCAGATTAGCCATTCATGCGATCGTTGTCCTCCCCGGAATCTACTTTATCATCGTGAGGAAAAACCCTTTCATCTTCATCGGAGGAATGGCCGAGGCATTGCTGACAGCTCTTATGATTTCATCCAGGTAATGGGACACCTTTCTTACTGGAGCTGATCCTTTTCAATGCAAACATTCAACAAACAAAATAAGTTAGAAGCCCTCCTGGAGACCTGACCAGACCACACCAGAGATCAGGAGGTTAGAATTCATTTTCTGCCTAAATTCAAAACATACAAATATTATTAATCCACTGCCGATCTATACCTCATTCATAGAAACAATTGATCCCACCCCCAACCCTACCAGAACAATGCTATATATATAAGCACAAACATTATTTTTAGTGGACATTCAATAGACCTAATAAGGCATCAATCAGAGGTGATGCTCCCTATGGCTTCAAGCTTATCTTAGACTGGCAAGGTATGCTGATCAAATAAACACATTATTAACTTAAAGAATCAGGAGCACATACCTTTTGGTTATGTAACATCTGTCAGGATGACTCAGTTGGCAATCTTTTAACAGCTGAGTCAGAAGATTGTGCATTCAAGTTCTGCGTTGGGACACAGAACTCACAGTTTAGGCTGAGACTCCTGTGCTTTGCTGGCTGTTGGAGATGCCGTCCTTCAGGTGAAACGTTAAATATGGACCTGTTCAGTTGGACATTAAAAGATCCCATGGCACTATTCGAAAAGAGAAAGTTTCGATTAGAGTTGTGGCCAGATAAAATTTCTTCACTGTTGTATGTAGGACTTTGCTATATGCAAATTGGCTGTCGTGTTCACATACAAAATATACAGTCACTACACTTTACAGTAAATTCTGTGAAGCGCTTTGAGATGTGTTCCCGACATGAAAGATGCCATATCAATTGCAAGGATTATTATTGTTATTATTATATCAGCACATTAAAAAGGTGTGATCGTTCACAGCTCGGCAACTTTGCCGGTGTCATTCAAATGTATGGAGGAAAAAAACAAAGTGGACAAGAGGATCACCAGATTTGTGCTACCAGTGGGAGCTACAATAAACATGGATGGGACAGCTCTCTATGAAGCAGTTGCTGCCATATTTATTGCTCAGCTTAATGACTACCCTTTGAACGTGGGCCAGATAATCACTATCAGGTAAGATCTACTTCTTTTACCCATTCAGTCAATGCATTCCTGTGGGTTTATTTTATTTCTTTTTAAAATGTAATGTCTCCAATTGCNTTTTTATTTCTAATCTTCCCACTGAAATGTGTCTCTCTGCTCCTAATCTAAATTTGTCTTGTTGAGGTGCAGTTTTACGGGGTTGGGGTACGGTTTTACGGGGTTGGGCTGCAGTTTTACGAGGTTGGGGTGCGGTTTTATGGACTCTGGCTGCCCTCTGGTACCCCATCTAAGTGAACCGTGTTCACATGTGAGCCTTGGCAGTGTCAGGAGCATGAATAGTAGAATGCCTCACAGCCAAGCCTGACCTCTTTCCACTCGGTTGCCACATACTCACACTATCAGTAGAGGGTCGTGAAGAAAGAGACTCAGATACCCTGTCTTAGGAGACTAGCAAAAATAACACAGGCTTCGAACCAAGCTCCTGGTATTCACTGCAACATTGGGGCTGCTTCCCTGTGGGTGTATTTTATTTTAAAGGTTGCTGTGCAGTCAGTTGTGCAATATGGTAACATTGGGGTCAACTGAATTTGAGAGAGATGTCTGGTACAATTGGCCTCGCTCCGTTGAGCTCAACCTCAGTATGGGGGAGAGGGGTAGAGATCCATGTCATGCACATCTATGTCCATTCAATGCGCAAATGTTGAACACAGTGCTAAATTGATTCCAATATGAAAATTAGTCATTTTAGAAACACTAAGATGTTTGCTGTAAGTTATGCATTGCACAGACTGGTTACATTTGGGTGTTAGTGAATGCTTTGCCACTTGACAGCATCATCCTAGGCTGCTCATAAATGCCACCCACCATCTGGTTGTAGAGTAGCATTCGCAAATGCCTAGGAAGAGCACTGCTTGCTGCCTCCTCCACCCTCGATGATGCATCATGCGGAGAGACTATCTGAAGGAAAAATAGAGAAAACTCAAGTGTTATTATGCTTACGCAAGCACTTAGAGCTTGTTTACCTTATACTAAATGACATTTAGTGTACCTCCATAAGGGATCAGGTTAATGCTCACGTGGTTTAATTTATGTTACCTGAGATTGGCAGAGAGGGTGGAATATAAAGTGGCTGAGAGGGAGTGAGATCTTTTTATCTGACAGGACCATTACTTTTAAATTTCCGTCTTTGTCTTGAGCCTGGAATTCCTAGATCGTGTAAGATCAGTTTAAAATTTGAAGCTCTGGTATGAGGGTGGGAGTGGGGCGGGGAAGTGCCTGGACACTGCTACCTCTCTGTGACACAGCCAAGGTATCACAGCAGGTTTAGTGTGAAGCTTGGATTGATAAACCCCGCTAACTGGCTGTTATTAAAGTCAGCATTAACACCAGTGCTGATTGCTAATTTAAGAGATTTTGCAAATGTTATCCCAGTAAATGTCACCGCTCAGAATGCATGTCATTGCTCAGAAACACTTGTGCCCTGATGTTTCTCTCCACACCAGTACAATCCCACTGTACTGTTCACTCCCCATACTGTTCAGACCCCCATCATCAGAGAGAGTATGGGTTTGAACATATTTGCATTTTTTTCCCCTCATCCAACCTTCCTGTTTGATTTTCTCTCCTCCCTTGTTACAGGTATTTGAAAGCCTATTTTTTTGACAGTGACTTTGACCACCTAACTCTCCTTCTTCCTTTTCTCTGATCTCTTGCTCACGGTCCAACCCCATCATTGTTCAGTTGTTCTCTCTGGTTGTTCTCCAGAAGCTGTGGTTCCTTTTGGGTTGCAGTTCTGTGCCCACTGGCAGCTGTGGGGTGTATATTATGACCGTAGTTTTCTCATTGACTCCCAAATTGTGTCTGTTTTCCCATAGCATCACAGCGACAGCTGCTAGCATAGGAGCAGCTGGAGTTCCTCAGGCCGGGATGGTTACCATGGTGATTGTTCTCACTGCAGTGGGACTACCTGCCAATGATGTGACTCTGGTCATCGCAATGGACTGGGTCTTGTAAGTGTAAAGTACACTGCTGTGCAAAATTGGCCAATCCAATCTCATTTACAATATATCCTTTGAAGCGTTTTAAGACGTCTCAATGGCTTGATAAGGCGCTATATGAAATGCAAGGATTATTATTACTATGATGATATTTAACGACTCGAACAGGTTGCCAGAAAGATAATAGAGGGCAGGATACTGGACACATTTTATAAGCAGCTTGATGCTGCGATGGAGGGATTGTAGGGTGGGTGTTCTGAAATCAGTTAGGCCGAAGGGCCTTCTTCATCCAAACCGATCTTGTTAATATTGCTACAAAAGCAATAGACGTCAAAGTGTCTAATTAAGACTAAACGCCAGATTGTACTGTCCCTTTGCATAGATCTGAATAATACTCAAACTATAACATCCAATAATACTAAAATGGTCATATTTCCATTTTCAGGGATCGGTTCAGGACAATGGTGAATGTGCTTGGAGATTCCATCGGAGCTGGAATTGTGGAAAAGCTTTCCAGGAACGAGCTGCTGCAAATGGACCAGGCAAGCGGCATAGACATCATCAATCCATTTGCCATGGAAACAACAGCATCAGAGAAGGAGGAAATGAAGAAGAAGGAAGCGTATGTCAATGGCGCATTTGACGTTGATAAATCAGACACGGTAGCAGTCACAGAAACGTCACAGTTTTAAATGTGTGGTAATAAAGGAGGTGATCATTTATGGTTATCCTACAGACTAGAGTGAATCTGATAAAGCTGAACAGCTGAACCAGCCCATAAATTCATTGCTGTCAATAATGAATAGCTTAACAATTTGTTTTGAAGTACAACATGTAATTTGCCAATGATCTAATGAACTGGCGGAATGGGCTCCTCCTGTTCCTATGTTCTGATAGACTGACCATTGAACTGCTTGGTAAACAACTGGAAATTGTTTCTTGATAAGTTGGCAGTGGCTGCACAACTGTTTATTCTGCAGCATGCACGTCACTGCACGTCAATGAGACCAAATACCAAGGTCATGCATGACAGCCAGTCCTGGTACACAATCAGATCTCAAAACTGTACAAAGTCCCTCATATCATTTAAACCATGCAGTAACTCAACTTGTGCACTATAAATTCACTGCAGTCCATAAACGTGTCTCTTGATTAAAATGATACTTAGAAACTGCGAGTGTTAAGTTTATGATTCCATTTAAAGCCTCAACCAGACTGTTTTGTGATCACTCCCAGGTATCTGTTATTCCATATCTAATGCCTCAAACAGTGCAACAGCTTGCCACTCTTTAGCAGAAAATTTATATAGTATTAAATGTACTGCATACAGTGAAACCTGTCTTAAAACCTATCTATATAGAGATCTAATTACTGTCTGTAATGACTAGTTATGAGTCTCAATGATGTATTATGGTATTCTAGGATTTTTGTACTGTCTCAAGACCTTCCTCTTTGACCGTGCCTTCGGTCATCCTCCCACCCAACACCATCCTTACCCTCCATCCCTCGTGATTCAAACCCTCAGCTCAGGTGCAAACCCTTGATTGTCCATGGCCTTGGGACATCCTCCCAATGTGAAAGGCGCTATATAAAGGCAATTTTTTTTTGTTGTATCATATCCAAACTGATAGTGCTGGGTAGACTTAGCAAAACTCTAAGTAACTCCGACTACGCTGTAAATTGTAGGGCAACCTTCCCAAGGTGATGATCTGGCAATAGAGTAATGCCTTATCAACTGCTGTGCAAGACAAGAAGCTGAACCAGAGCCCTAGACTATTCAACTCACTTCAAGTCATTGCAAAATCATGACTCATATCACAACTGTTTTTCACTTATAGCGGTGACAGCCCGACAGATCATGTGCAAATCAGTAGTGATAGTGTCTTGAGTGTGACCAGTTTGCACAAGCAGAGCACCATGTGTGGATGTGTAAGTAACAAATGGTCTAGAATTTAGGAGAAAGCTCAAGGGCTCAATTCTGTACAACCAGACCTGGAATGACGCAAAGGAATATACTTCACACAATTGGGATTTGTATTTGCAGGTACAGTGTAATGTCGGCATTTGAATGATTGAGCCAAGAACCTGCATTATCTAGTCAGTCTCAACTCTGTTCATTATAAATGCACTTCACTTTATGTTTCTGTCAGTTGTACAGATATTTCATAAGTTTACTTTTGATATCTTGTGTATAATGGAGACATTGCATAAACTCGACTGCACCTTATGTTGTAGCACTTTGAATCCTAATCCTTAAATCTTTCTGTAACTTCTCTCTCCATGTATCTCTCACAGAATGGTTATTTTGCATTATAATGTTGTGAGGGTCTTCTAGGAACTATCAATATGCACTGGAGAAACTGAAGCATTTTGGTCTTCCAGCAATAATGCTTACACAAAAGTTCAGGTCAGTAAAAGTGCAACTCACTGGGATAAGACACGTATATGTTGAGCAATCTTGGGAGGAAAGCTTTAAGACAATGCATTTTACTTGTAATTCAGATTATTGCAGAGCTCTGAGTTTGAACATTTTAGCAGACTGGATTCACAACCACATCCAAGGTACTAAGATTAGGAGAATACTTATACAGTATATCCTGGTCCTGATCTCACTGACTGGGAGTTGAGTAGAGTTCTGCGCCTCCATAACTAGCTGCATGCATATACCTCCTGACATCTGACAATAACTTTTTGAAGCTTGGATTGACCCTGCTTTGCTTTTGGCGCTTGAATAATGTTGAAATCTTGTCCTTTAAACCCTCAAATTTCCCCCTCTCCCCCCCACCCCAAACTTTAAAGTTACCATTTTTGATCAAGGCCAAGTCAATTTGTATCACAGGGTCGGGAATCAACGTGCTGCTTAAATCCATGCTTCGGTGTCTCAGCAGCTAGACGTCAACACAAATTGACTTTCAGAATGTTCAATCTCGACTGCTGTACACAGGGAATCCATCACAGTGTAAACAAAGCATCATAATGTCTGGCACAGCTTCTATGAAAGAGAGGGCTGTAGGAGAGAGTAAGTCCTAGAGAAAGCAGACACTATCCAGTAATTAATTTAATTGTTAAGTTAGAGCACTCGCCTCACAAGCGAGATGACCTGGGTTCAATTCCTGGGCAGGGCAAAACCAGAAAAGTCAAGAAGCAATGCATAAATTAATTGTCCGAAACACTGATTGTCCAGTGCCTTGGGAAGTCCTCCTGACGTGAAAAGCGCTCTACAAATGTGATTTGTTTTGTTTTATTTAGAGGGCAGTGGAATATGTAACATTTCATTATCTTATGAAACTTTGCATGTTTCCATCCATCCCTAAAGACTGGCAACCATAGGTGGGGGGTGGGGCTGGGGCTGAGTAAAATCCGTCATTGGTTGACACTCACCCAGCTCCAGTCCAGTGGGGTCCTGTTGGCTTGACTGGCAGATCCATCAGTCAATCGGAGATGAAGATACCCCAACAAACAGCCCTCTGGACTGGAAGTGGGTGGGTGCCACTGCTGAGTTGGGAGAGGAGCAAATGGGGGCTTGTGGGTGCCATGGGTTGGGGTTGCTCGGAGGACTGGCTCTGGTCCTCCTCAGGGCTTTTCCTCCCAGTTCCCCTTAAAGAGGAGACCTGTAAAGAGATTTAAGGTGGGGGCTGAGCCCCCTCCAGCAAAGTGGGGCCACCAAATGAACCTGCCCGAGCCCCCACTTTGCCACAATAGTTTGAATGTTCTGAAACTTTTTTGTAAAATTTCATGGGTGTCTTGGATGGGCACAATTTTTGTTAAAGTTAAGTCAGCATCCTAATCTTGCCTACACTGAAACCCAGATTTGAGTGATCAGGAAGTTGGAGAAACTTCAAGTCCAACCATTAAACCACAGTGCTGAAATCCTGTGGGGAGTCAGGTGTTCAGTTCCACAGCCAGTCTTTAGGAAAGGATGGTAAAATGTGACACATTAAACTTGTTATGGACTCGATGGGCTGAATGGCTTCTTCTGCACTGGAAATGTCTGCGATTGTGTGTCTGTGAAACAAACCTTTCAACACGTTGATTGTTCACATTTGCTTGGTTGCTGTTGGTTAACCTGTGATGTTCTTCACTTCTATGCTTCTTTTAATACCTTCTGCACCCCAGTGCTTCGAGACCCTACCCCATGTGAACGGCACTATCTTGATGCACAGCTTCAATTTTAATAAAGCAGAATTCAAACGCGACTGCTCTCCCCTGACAAGCTTTCAAATTTAATATATATATATAAATACAAATTGTTGTTGCTTTCAGCTGCCCACATTTCCTACAATTTACTCACCATTAGCATGCTGCTTCTTTGACCTTTCCTCTGTCTATCTTTCTTCCCTCTCCTGAAAGCAGAGACTCGTGCTGCACTCTTCAGCAAAGGTCACTAGAAAGAAATCAGGATTGGAAAACCTAGGCTGATTTAATTCCTTCCCAGCTTGATACATTTAGGCTAATTAAAGGCTTCCCATTGCTGCCGTGGCTGAGATCAGCAGACAGTCAGCATAGATTCAGTATCACACCTCAGATCATTCTATCATATATGACTTAATACCATACCTTGATGCACTGAGCCATTGGGGGAAACACTCTGTTTTTCCTAGTTTAATTGCCTGTGCCTTTACGTGCTTCCGAACAAATTTCTCCTGCATTATTTATGTCAATATCAACACAACAGTTGCCAACACCTCGGCTGGACTTAACATTAGGGTCTAATTTAGGGTATTTCTTACACTTACAAGAGTCATTAATAAGGAAACTGAGTTGTACAAATAGGGACTCTTTCTGGTAACCCGAAGAACATACGTCAAACTATAGGGTTTCTGCTCTGTGGAATTCTTAAAAGATTCCTTAGAAAGAAATCCTTTTAAGGAATATTGCAAATGAGACCATGTTATTTCCTAAAGGGAATGGGAAGGTTCTTGGCTGCTGCCAAGATTTAGTTGAGATACTCGTACAGTTCTGCATGTGAAAGATTGTATTAATTACAATAATGCTTGCAATTTGATGCAACACCTTTCATCAAAGATCTCAATGTGCTTCATTTGATTTTCTGTAAAGCGCAGCGACTGTGTATTTTGTAGGCGAATGTAGGTGTATTGTACATAAACTGACTGGACTTTCAAATCATCCTATTTTATTAATGGATAGCTTTAATTTTAATAAAGCAGAATTCAAATGCCACTGCTCTGCCCCTGATAAGCATTCAAATTTAATCAGGGCACATATAGATTATTGGGGAAAGTTAAAGGGTTAACCAAGGAAATTGGAATAAAAGGTTAAGATAAATGTATAGTGAGTGTTCGGTTTGCACTTTGGGATATTTTTATGGTAGCTAGAAAAGTCATTTTGATAAAAGAAGTTATGTTGGTAGAAATAGAATATAAACATATTAATGTCGACTTGTTTAACATGTATACACAATTGATTCAGCTATATGTTTGTATGCGATGATTTACAGGAATGAATCAAAAATATTGAACACTTGACATTTGCTGTTTTTTAAAAAACTGATTAAAAAATGTGTAAATAATCTGGGCCATTAGATTTGTAATTTAAGCGAGCACTTCAAACTATGCTGGAAAGGGCAACTCTTGGAGCATAAAAGATACAAAACTAAGTTGCATCTGTAACAAAGTGAAAACGATTTGTATGTGGATTTCAATTCATCTTAAACTCACATTTGCTGGTTAACTGTGGAGAGAAAAGAAATGGGAATAATTTTAAAATACACAAGCATGCTTGAATATGTTGCAGAATTGAACTTGAATGTATTGTTGGGCAGGAGGAACTGAATCGTTTTATTTGTAAATCTTGCTTTTCTTGAATAAAGATCCTGACTGTATGTCTGTGGATGTACTATATCCAGTACGACTGGTTTAGTGTAAGGATCATTCGTCCGTCACTCACTGTAGACCTTGTAGTACCTGCCAATGCACGGTTAGATCTTGGAATAAAACCTTTTATTAAAAAATGGGGACAGGGATTCCTTCCACTCAGCTCCTGTTAACCCTGCAAGCCAAAACCCAAGCGGGTAGGGTGGTCCTAGTTGGACAAGCAGTGAGAAAGTTTGCCAGACAGCAATATCAATGGTAAGCTATGCGGTTTTAGCTGGTTAGACTCCAGCAGTATCCCAAAACACACTCTGGGGTCCCTAAGCCTTGGCTCTTGACAACCTGCGCCTAATATTTTCTGGAATTGGATAAACAGGATTTGTCCCTCCAGGGAGAGTGTATTAATTACATTCTATCAATCGATCGCTGGAATTTCCATGTGTAGGTGGGATACATGGCATTCTCAGTTTGGTTTGGATATTCTTAGCATGGTGATAGGTTCCTGCATGTGTCAGACACTCGGCTCAACCACCCTTCCTGGTTCTATTCATTAAGAGACAGAAAGAAAGAGAGAGAAAAAGAAAGATGTGCACAATATGGTACAAATAGTAGTTAAAGCAAATTTCAAGCAACACAAATAATTACCAAAACAAACATACCCAGAAGTCGCTGGGAACACTCAGCAGGTCAGGCAGCATCTATGAAGCAAGGGAAAGTGAGTCAATGTT